AAAACTGATAATCTCACATATGAAATCATTTATGATGCTTGGAAATACGAGATTTATTTCTCGTGCTGTATTATTCTCTATATATTATGTTTACTCGGTAATATGTTCTGGTCAGATTTCAAATTCCACATCATTAGAGTTGTAAGTTATAATATAGGTATTTGTATAGGAATGTAGGGTGTTCGTGTATCCGTGGCAATGCATTCACTGCCCGTGGCACCAAATTGATTGATCATTGATGGCACGTTTGAGAGCAGCTTCAGTGGCGGTGCCCCAGTAATGGTGTACCCCCACCCTTACCCAAAAATATGAATCTTCTCTAGTATATTGGATACGCATAGGCATCTTTGATACATATAGTAAGTGTAAAATGAAATTTTGGGATATTTAAGAAATACAATTGACAATGAATTAAAGCACCAAACTGTCTCCTTCACAAGTAAAATGGTCTGACATTAAGTAGAATAAAGAATAGAGTCGAGCACACCTGGGTGCATGGCAGTTTAATGGCGTTAATTGTAAGCTGCAAGTAACTACAGTAATCTCTAAAATCTAAGGGTTTCAAGGATTCATGCCATATCTTATATGTTGCAAAATTGCTCGAGTAAATTTATTTATTAAAAAACTCATTAATAATTCATAAAGAAAAGACAAAGGAAATCACTAGCTTGTCGGTGGTTTTACATCTGCATGATAAAAATCATGTAAACTACCGCTTTGATTTTCTCGACTTAGACAATGTTTATTTTTAAAATTACTTCGCTAATAAACACATAAGCTGGGTCGTTAAAGCTCTCCTGCTCGTGTTTTAAATAGTACATAACACATGAATGATGTCAATTGCTTGACAGTTGGGTTTACTCTGCAGTCACTCTACAGTAAATATTATTAAAAAACTCATTAATAATTCAGAAGCAAAACACAAAGAAAAATCATAAGCGTGTCGTGGTTTTATATGTGATAAAAAATCATGTTAATTCACATAAACTTTAGCTTTGATTTTCTCGGTTTAGACAAAGTTTATTTTAAAAATTACTTCGCCAATGAACTCGTATAAGATGAGTCGTTTTTTAAGCCATTTAAAGCACTTGTAGTCGTGTTTTAAATAGTACATCAGGTTTCTCTAATGAAAGTCTGGATCTGTTCCGGAGTGACTTCAAAGTGCGTACAAATATGCTTCACTATTTTATAAATATAATGAACTTTTCTCATTTAGGGCGAGGTAAGTCATATGGAAACTGGAAACTAATATCTGTACAAGTTCTTTGTATGTTCAAATAGCAAGAGTAGTGGTGCAGTGCAAGTCTAAAAATATAAGAGCTCTAGCCAGATTTAACTTCCAAGACCTATAACAATGATTTTCTCTCTTTATAATTTTGTGCGAATAATGCCAAAGAAGCCAAAATGCGGGATAGCCAAAGAAGACCTAGCTCGCGAGGCTCCGAAGTTATAATAATACCATATAACTTAATTGTTAGGTTTTATAATTATTTACTGCTAATTTGATAATTATTCGTTGACCAAGTTTAATTAAAAAAAGTAATAAATTAAATCAAGCTTTTGCATCTTTAATTTTGAAATATGCTAATGCTTGGTTTCATCCTATTATATAGAAGATGATCCGATTGGTGAGATTTACAGCCCTGGTTACGATTGTTCGAAAATATTGGACAGTAATCCTGAGGCAAAAGATGGATTGTACTATATCGATCTTGGTGGATTTAATGCTATACAAGTAAGAATATTGTCATTGTCATTGTTATTATATCATGTGCATTTTGCACGCAGGAAATTATCTGGAAACTATGAAGTAATTTTTTGCGGCATTTTGATGTCGAAAGTTTTTAATTTGCAACCTCGTTCCCAGGCTCTTACCTCTTGTAGAGGAATGACCCTTGTAGGAGCTGGTCACGTGATCCGCTAAAATCTAGTATCACGTAATCTGCTAAAATCTAGTATTAATCTCGATAAATATTTCATATTTGTACTTTAATTTATAACTTGCATTTTGTTTTGCAAGTTTGATTCGATCTGATTTTAAAGGAACCCAAGATAGTTAATCAAAAATCTGATAGATTTTAGCAGATCACGTGACCAGTTCCTACCAAGATCTTTCCTCCACAAGAGGTGAGAGCCTGGGAACGAGGTTGTTCAATTCGGTGCCAGAATTAAAGTGCGGGAAATGGCATTTTCGAGCCTTATATTTTCAAATTCTCAATTTTAAAAAATTGATGGACAGTTTCGATGGTATACTTTATGCATTGTTCAAAGGTTAAACAAGTTTTGTGTCACAAAAACAATGGTAGCCATGGTTTCCTTTCTCCTTTAAGGTATATTGTGACATGACTACCGACGGTGGGGGATATATACTAATGGGCAAAATGGATTCTTCTATAACTTGGAACGTTCCTTCCACTGCTAATCCTGTCGAACCTAATGGAGCCCAACACTGGGCCAGTAACCTGGGAGAAGCTCCTGTCGTCGATTTCAGAGTACAGATGGCAACAGCCGAAGATTTTAGTAACACAGTTGCTCACTGGTTAGTTTTCTCGAATATGTTTAGACCTGTTGTCCGCAGTATCTCAAAATGCAACTCTTATAACCAATGAGAGAGAATTTTGACACTCGTATAAGTTAAGCCACTGGAAACTTGGAAATATTTTCTATCTTTCCTAAAGTTAAGAAACCATTATTGAATTTACCGTGGAGAAAACTGGGAAAGCAGATTGTTTGAAATAATTATAAACATGCATGGCGCCGGCTTGGTTTTCCTTTAAAACTCGTCTGCTTATAATGCAAGAGGTACTGTTCCTAAGACTTTAAAAATTCAATATTTTCCGGTGAACATGCTCTCGTCCCCTTAGGAGTTTCTCGTATCTTTGGTCATTGTATTCGCTCCTCCAACCAACACCCTGCATGGCTACGCCGGTGCATGGTCGAAGTGTCGCTATGTACTAGCAGTACAGTGAGCTTTCGCATTCGTCTTATCACCCTTCCGATTAATTTTACCTTGATAATTTCAGATATCATAGATACTTTTATTAAATAATTTTACTACTTGAAATAATATTTCAATATCTGCAGTTTTGTGTTTAAGAAATAGAGAACATCTTCCGTGTTTCTGTACAGTTGTACAAACACGTGTGGGTGTTTGGTCTTGGGAGAACATGAGAATCAGTGGGAAAACAAACACGTACGGCAAGTTTTCCGCGTTATTTCGAGTTCTCCCAAACTACGATAAGTGTTCTATAACTGTATAGCAATAGAGGGAAAATGTTTGCAATATCATTCTTATTATAGCTCAAGAAAAGTTTTCATATAGGCATCTTATATATATATGGATTAATTTATAAATCTCATTACATCAGCATAAAATGTACTCAAGTTTGCCCTTTGCTTGTCAATCTTACCACAGAATAGTCAAGTTCTTCTTTATTTAAGCCATAGATATCTTATGTATACTAGGTAGCACATCTCTTTCAGTAAAATTGAAGCCCAAGAATTTTCCAGCGGTTACCCCCATTTGAATAGATGGCGGCCATGTTGGTAGTTCCCACTCGCTAATAAACGCTTAAAAAACAACAACTTTCCTCATTTGAATGGTTAAAAAATGTATATGGAATAGGTTTAACTTAATGTTTAAGTTCCCTGTTTAAGAAATAGAAAACATACGAATCTTTCATTTCATGGGAATATCCTGAGTCTGCAAATCACGGCTTCAATTTTTGAATTGCAGAATAGTTAGATGCACTCTCTAGTGTATATAAGATATCTATGATTTAATAAGCCCAAATCCGCTTTTGTTCTTTGCCCCTGTTGTCAGAATTAGTATCATCAGACATTTTACTTTTCACAAATGTTTTGTTTACGGTTTCCTAATATTAAAGCTTGTATCGCAGGAAAAACGAGGCTCCATAGCCAATGTGACGGAAGGGTCTATAACCTCAACATTATACCTTACATCATTAATCATGATTTGTGAGCCGCACGTGTGATCATTAAGAGAATTAGGATTACATATTTTTCTAATTTTCATGTCTAGGTCATTTAGAATGAAATCTGAGCGCCCTTTGAAACAGTTGATGGTAGATGACCAAGGATGCACTAAGCATAAACCAGGAATCGGAAACATCGCCTACGTGAAAGATATACGGACAGAAAAAATTGTAACTACAGGATTTCGTTGTTCTATTTTCGGAGGATTTCATCACTCAACGCCGGGTTTTGGATGGGTAGGTATTGCATTAGCAACTGTTTCAAAAACTAAAAATATCAAAATTGGAAAATTAAGTCGTATATTTTTTTTAGCACCAGATGAACTCCTGCTTGAACAAACCTTGTAGCAATGGATTTGCACATTTTGAGTTTGCACCAGGGACCCATGTACAAGTAGATCACCATGGAGCGTTCAGGTACTGTTTTTTGTTGATGAAAATCGTTAATTTACAGATCGTTCATTTTTTATGGTTATGATCACTGCGTAACATTTTCTATTTGATGCTTGTGATGTTACTCTGAGTATATATCCACACTGAGCAGGCTTGAAAAATATGCCTGGCCACGGTGGGAATCGAATCTACAACGTTTGGAATACCAGCCCAATGCTCTGCCAACTGAGCTACGTGGTCAGGTATGTGATATTTCGGAACTGAGTGTAGTTCCTTCGATATCGGTGTAATCTAATAATCAAATCACATACTCGAACCGACCTGACCACGTAGCTCAGTTGGCAGAGCATTGGGCTGGTATTCCAAACGTCGTAGGTTCTAACAGCATCCTATATTAACACTAGAATTATATAGTCATGCAGCAAGCTCCCGCTGTTTTTAAGGGAAGTTATTTGTATGTTACTTAACAACTCTAATTTAGTGCAACCAAATAAGGCTGGACATGAACGGCACAGGTCCCATGCAAGGTGTCAGACAAGAATATAACTACCTCCTCCGCAGGCCATACAGCCCGTAATGAGTATGCCCTTTCGCAGGTTGAAATTTGAAATCTGAGACGAAAGGCCTGCGGAGGAGGTAGAGAATATAAAGTATTAAATATTTACAAATTTAAATTAGTAAAAATTAGGTGTGACAATGACACGTCCTGCACAATGAATAAGTGCAGGACAGGTCAGGATCAAATGTTGTTCTTAGGTGTTCCTTGTTAGTATTATACAAGTTTTTTAAGAGCTAGAATTACGATACACCAGCGGTTACGACTATGAAACTGTTCATTTTTTATGTTTCTCAATTTACAAACAAACTTAAATGGTATGTGTAAAGTTTAATCTCTGAGAAATGCTAAAAAAATGTGGATATTTATATGATACGCCAATTGAAGCGAAAAATGATGTCTGATGTTCAGCAAGTTTTGCTCACATTGCTACAGATTTGGCTTCAAATTTAAAGCATCGTTCACAATTGTACTTTAATTGACAATAATTTTACTACTATATTACGTTTCTCAACCGGAAGTTATGCCAAAAGATTTAAGGTTGCACAAAAAAATGTTGCAGCATGAGGTTTTACTATGATTAGAAACCAGTGCATGGTACAATCTCGTTCCCAAGTTTTTCCTCCTGACAAAAAAGCCTGGGAACGAGTTGGGCATGGTATAACGTTTACGAATGGTTCTGAATGGTTCTATGCTTGTATCATTAATTCAATAAAAGAATATGTCTGTTTTATTTAAATTAGTGCACTTGTACACGTGGCATATTTTGATAAAATTAATGCTACATCGATCTGTCTTCTTCATTCGTCACCTTACAATGGATTGCAGCTGGTTTGCAGAATTTTTGTTATATCTGATTGCGCACAATAACAATCAAAACTGTCTTACCTTTTCTTTGATTATCAGTTAGTATTTGACGCACCCTTTATTGGTTCAACAGCTATAGTGTTTCTGGTAATCATTCAGCAGTACAGCATGACGCCACAGCATTCGTCGGATGTTCTGGAACAAATCAGGTGATTCATAATTACTTGAACGGTGGGTACCAGAGTAGGTAGGGAAGAATAGTTTTGAAAGAAAGCTTTTTGTCTGAAAATTACTACCGTGGGTCGGAAAAACACATGTGCTTTTATTATCATTATCCCTAATGATATATGTCAGAGGATATACATAAACCCCGTTTACACTGTACCTAATTTCCTGGTCACGGCGTCAGTTTTAACAGTTAATGAAATAGCCTAAACGTTTATAATGGCAGCCACAAGCAAATACATACGGAAGTTATCGAAAGAGTAAACCTTTGTTGTTAAAAGTTGCTCCTGACCAGCGAATCCGCTACAGTGTAAACGGGGTCGTAGTATATTTTAAACCAACAGTAATGCAAATGTTTTGCTGTTCGATCATAGCATGAGTTTTCAAGTTTATTTGGTTTACAGACAAAGTTTTACGTGCTATCCTGGTTTAAGTGACAAAATCCAATGAAATTGTATCTGCATTCGCGACAGGCTTTGCATTCATTTGCTAAAAACCATAACGAGAAAATACACGTCTGATGCGCCATTCTTTATTCCATTTTATAGATATGCTGCGGGTGTTTTGGCCCAATTGGTGGAACGAGTGATTACTGCGGTGACGACTGCACGGCAAAAAATGGCGGAACCGTCGTGAAAAAGAACATCTACTCATGGTTCTGGGTGAGAACATCTCTTCCGAAAAGTGTTTGGAACAGATGTATGGAATACAACGTGAAGAACGAAAATGGCGACATGGTCTCGCACAGATTATTCGATGGAAATACCACACCTGAAAAGGTAACATTTTTATAACCATCCAGGATAGAAATTGTCTGTAATTCACCAGAAAACGAGGCTATATAGCCTTTTCAGAAGGTTGTATTAGAATTCCTTTGCACCATTTTAATTAAAGTATTTTTACGAGTCGTTAAGCTATATATTAGTGTAATATGCGGAAACAGAAAATATATTATGGTATTATCCATACATTTTTATTTTATATATGTTAATATATTATATATTATATTATATTATATTATATTATATTATATATATATATATATATATATATATATATATATATATATATATATATATATATATATATATATATATATATATATATATATATATAATTAACGTTACAAATATCTTAAAATAACATTTTTTTTCGCTACTCTGAGTTTCACGATCTTGTCTGATCGATCTTCAGGCGATTTATGTCCGTTTAATTAGTTTGTTTAATTTGTTTGTTTGTTTAATAAACGATCGGAAATCTTCGGAAAATGTCGCCATAAAGATCGGTTTCAAGCTGGAAGTTTTCAGCGCGTGCGTCAATGAAAATCACGAAATCAAACAAACTAATTAAACGGACATAAATCGCCTGAAGATCGATCAGACAAGATCGTGAAACTCAGAGTAGCGAAAAAAAATGTTATTTTAAGATATTTGTAACGTTAATTACATAGCTCTACTGTACTGTTTATCAGTAGTA